TCCACTCCCCAAAAGGAATCCATCACAATATTTGGTGGGCGTAGCCGAATTTCTCTATAGCGCCCCTAGAAAACTTTAAATGATCAGCCCCAAGCCATGCTTTAACCTACAATTACGAAACTTTGTACACATGTGTACCTTGTCAGGACGTACAAAAAAGTCTCTTGGAGCCATGGTCTAAACCCCACAGGAAGTCGGCCATTTTGGATTCAAGTTCGGTTTTGACCCCATTTTTGCCGTTTACAGCCTTCGTATTTGATCTATCTCCTCCTAGGGATTTCGATTGATCGGCTTCAAACTCGGTCAGTCTGTTCATAAGGCATGTCTCATCTAAAGTTATCTAAACGGTTTGTTTTTGAGTATGCTGAAGGGGGGTTAGCCGGGGTCAAAGTTCACCTACTCGCCATAAAAACATAAACTGCTATATCTCCTACACAGAAACTCACAGAGGCACCAAAGTTTCTGTGATTTATCATCATCGGGTCTCCTACATTACCCTATGGTCGAATGATGACATCACTTAGGCCACGCCCCCTGAGAACAGGAAGTGTAATGTTTTACTGTGAACGTTCGCTATCTGACCCCTTTGACCTCATCAACATGAAACTGTGCCAAGACACAGAACACATGTTGGTGTATTGAGGATTCCAACCCGACCAGCTACGATAGAGCAGGTGGGCATGGCGGCGTGGCGAAGTTACCTGTAACGCCATCGCCATACGTTTGGCTCTCAATACCACATTTTCGGGCTCAGCTGCTGCAAACTCACAAGGATGAATATTTATCCACTCCCCGACTGGAATCCATCACAATATTTGTAGGGCGTGGCCTAATTTCTCTATAGCGCCCCCTAGAAAACAGCAGCCCATAGGTTATGTATTTATTAATTATTTAAATATACATTATTATAACTTTTTATATATATAAGTTTATTTTGTGGGTTACAGTACAAACATTCATTCATTTTTGCTAGAAATAATACAAAGTCATTCAGCAAAACTTATGACACAGCGAAGTAAGAACACACTGGGGTCAGTGTTGATGGAGTACTACTGGCACCTTGTGGAGAAATACTGGTACTGCTAGTGCAATACCAGTATTGCGACAGCAGGAGGCAGTGGTACTCCATCAATGAGAAAACAGATCGACGCTACGTAATAACAGTCAGCCGGCGACAGCTGGAGCTGCAAAGTTTTCCTGAACATTTTGCTTGCTTTTTGGAGCCACAGAACTGGACTACGCTCAACATTTTGCTTGGATTTTGGAGTTGCAAATCCGAACCACGCTTTGGAGCAAGAAGGCTCTGTTGGACCGGAGTTGGAGAAGTTTAATGGGCTCTTTGCACCTCAGCTTACACGTTCGGGAAACACGGCTGAAATGTTTTTCCAAGATAACAATTAATAATGTACATCGATCCGAAACCCCAACAAGTAAGGCAAAGAAAGGTTTTAAGATGTTCGCCTCGTTATACATTCACAGATATGAAGGTGAGTTTTATTTTCTTTAAACTGCTAGCACAAGCCTGCTAGCTTTCTAGTAAAATCTGCTATTTAATTATCTAAAGATTTCTCAGCCATTCTAACGGACACTGTGCCTTATTTTCAAGCATATTACGTGTGTTTATTGTTAACGACAATAAAGCAGCGGGGAGGGGGGGGGGAGCAGATTACAGTTCAGACTTTTTGCTTGAAGTATGACGAAGAAAAACGAGCACAGAGCTTACTCTGGTATCGGAGTTCTAGTTCAGCTGACTGTTCAGATTCAGAGTTATTACTTTTAGAAAAATATGGCCGTGTTGCTTAAGGTTTCTGTGTTATTTCGTTTTATTACTTTTGCATGCTTGTTGTGAATGGCTCATTAAGACGGTGTTTAGAGCGGTGTGTACGGCGTTAGCTTCAAGTGGTAGCTTTAACTTGTAGCAACGAATATTTACAAGCTGTCTTAATTGAGGATCGCTTGGAAATCCATGAAACTTAAACAAAGTACATAGTATTGTTTTATTTGTGTCTTAAGTACGACTTTGTCTTTTATAGCAGTCATAGTTTCTGAAAGTGGAAAAAAGAGCAGCATTCGGGTATACAGTTGTGACGTCAGCGCGGCAGGTGCAAAGAGCCCATTGCTGTTCGTTTAAACAGTCGTAACTCGCGGTGCGGTGAGTAATTTATTCCTTCCTGCTGGTTCTGGAAGCCGTCATGTTTGGAACAGTTATTCTGAGGAGGATGCTAACCCAATGCCTGAGGCCTGCAACGTTTTTAATGCTAACAAAGCGCTTGACTAATTCAATAAACTGAATAGTGTGTGTGATACATCCAGTTTCATAAATTCAGAGTTGTTTGTTATTATGTATAGAAGATGTTTAAAATGTCGTTTGAAAGAGCTCTGAGAAAATGCTAAGTATCTTTTTACCGATCCATTGGGGTTGTAATATTTAGTTGCAGCACTTCCTGTGATTAATACCTAATTAATGGATGGGATTCAGTCTGTGCTATTGTTCTAAAGTGCTGAAAGTTAACTGTGCTCTGTTAATGTGCATTGCCATTGGTTTATTACTGAACAGTGCGGTTTATTAAACTGATACATCTTAACCTTCACCATTTTCCTGACTCATTTCACGATAACGTTAAAGTTGCACTGCATTTAGATCTCAGTTGTAGTTAACATCAAGCATGTGGGTGTGGCTTAGTGTAAAACTTTCACTATTTACCATGAAACAACATTAAATGACTTCCAAATGCAAGATCACAGCTGCATCATCACACTTCCTCTGTCTTTCTAGAGAACAGCCCTGAACACATTTCCATGGTCACTTGATGACCTCACTGTAGCCCCGCCCACTTTTAAGAGGCAGTCACATGTTTTTTCTGCTGTATGTTTTACTGTTATTCTATAATTTATATGGGTTTCATCATGTGAATACTGAGTAAAACGATAACATGATGAACTCTATGAATGCTGGCTGCTGACCGAACCGCATTGGGGTGTAGAAATGACGAAATGCATTAACTTCGCCACGTGCATATGATCGGCTCTAAATGACACGTGGATCATCGGACTGGCGCCAAATTGAAAACGTATGACCTTTGTTGACCTCTAAAGAGCAAAACAGCATTGAAATGTATTTTGACTCCACTGCGCCCCTACATTGATCCGCCAGCTGTATTTCCTCGCTAAACCAATGAATCTATACCACATTTTTTTGCATCTTGAAGGATAGCCGCCGAACGCATAGATGCGTACCGCCTGGAGGACGGGCGCGGAAACTGCGCAACAACTTCTGTCTTAGCACGTGCGCAGCGTTGATGGAAACTGAGCAACTGCTTCCGCGGTGCGGGCGGAGGCGCTGAAAACTGCGTGAGAGCTTCTGTGGTGGCTGGCGTGAGGCGGCGGTTGCTCGTACCCTGCGGTGGCAATAGGCCGGAGCGGCGCTTGGCTGCGAGGGCCGTTCGAGGCTGCTTGCAGCTTTAATTTTCATTATTTTTTTAGTGTGAGTTTATGCAACTGTAATAAAATCTGAATGTATGTTGAGGTTTTTCCCACACCTCAGCCAGCGGTTCTGGTTCTGGAGGAGAGAGAAGTCAAGCACTGGATATGTTGTTGGTCAAGTTTGGGGCCGTGAGAACGACAGCTGTTTTTAAATTCTAAAATAAAATTATTTTTAAATAAAGACACGTGTTTCAGAGACGCTTTCTTCCCCTAAATTAGCACAAGTGTGAGTTAGGGAGGGGAACTGTGAGTGGGAGAAAAGGCAATTTAGCAGGCGTTTCAATTCACTCCACCCTGTTTTCCAGACTTGTAATCCTGTTTCATCAGCGACTAAATGCCTTTTACGACATCTGAGGCAGGCTGGGACAAAGAAAGAAAGAAAGAAAGAAAGAAAGAAAGAAAGAAAGAAAGAAAGAAGAAAGAAAGAAGAAAGAAAGAAAGAAAGAAAGAAAAAGAAAGAAAGAAAGAAAGGAAGGAAGGAAGGAAGGAAGGAAGGAAGGAAGGAAGGAAGGAAGGAAGGAAGGAAGGAAAGAAGGAAGGAAGGAAGGAAGGAAAGAAAGAAAGAAAGAAAGAAAGAAAGAAAGAAAGAAAGAAAGAAAGAAAGAAAGAAAGAAAGAAAGAAAGAAAGAAAGAAAGAAAGAAAGAAAGAAAAGGGCACGCATTCTCCGCAAGGCCAATGAAAATGAGAAACTCATTTTATTGGGTTTCTTGTTTCTCCTCAGTTCTTCATCAAACATGCAGCAAGGTGTGGATGTTGAACCATGTCAAACAAACTGCAAAGCACAGACTTTGCTTTACCATGATACTTTTTCTTCATGGCGTCAGCAGACCTGTCTGCTAATGACCAAATAAAAAAAAGAGTAAAATAGGACTGAAAGGATGTTTAAACTCATTCATCTTTCTGGTCATCACGCAGCAGTGGACTGATTTAGAACAAGTTTTCAGGAGTTATACAGGATAAATGTCTCCCTCTGCTGTTCAGATGCGATGTAGCATCTTTTCTGACATTTCATAGGCATCAGACTTGCTACAGTAGGCAGAGGTAGAGATGAATGTTAAATGTCTATTGGATTTTTGCTGTTTTGGTTATTGATAAGGCAAAATGCTTACAAAAGGTGCTATGTTTCCATACAGATTTCTGTTGAAGTATAATTGCAAATATTAATATGATTTAGAATCAGAATTTAATTCCCAAGATTTGCCTGATAGTAAACAAACACAATGGCATCACAGTATGGTCAGCATGTGAACAGAGGTTAGGTGTTTTATTCACTGGCATTACATAACCACTGATGGTATTTATTGATCTACACGCTAACTTTAACTGCACATGGTTAAGAACAGCATAGAAAAGGAGTTATGAATTATCAACAAGTCCTATCCAAACAGAGGAAACAGCAAGTTATCTGGAGGAAACCCAGGAGAAGTGAGTCCCACTGTGAGAGAAACTGCAATGAAGGATTAGAACACTCAGTAAGCCACAAAAATAAATTAATAAAATAATGGACAAAGGTGAATTGACTTTTTACTTTTTTTATTGCTTAAACTGCCATCTGGAACAATCTATACCAAAAGGATAAACATCTTTGCACATATAGGAGGTCAAACTAAATACAGGTTAGAATAGAAAAAGAATGGTCCTCTGACGGGCTGCAGCTCCTCGTGCTGCACACCAATCAAGCTCTCTGAAGGTCGGGCTAGAAGTGACGGACGACTACTGTAAGCCCAGGTTAGGTAAGCTAAGGCAAACCGGGACGATTGCAGTGTGGCTAAAAACGGTTCCAACTAAAACCTCCAATGCAGCTATTTACATGAAAACAATGAAGGTGACTCCCTCCGCCCTGACGGAGGATAAACACGACGTGTCATCAGTGGACACAAACCCAGGAGTAACCCGGGGGGCCGGCTGGGACGACAGATGATCAGTTTAAGTTCAGACGTTCCTTTCACCGAGCTGAACGGTCCGCAATCAGTACCAAAAAAACAAAAACAAAAAAAAAAAGCTTCAAAAATAAAAAGTTCAAAATCAAACAGACATCTCAACGTGAAGCGCATACGACTGCTCTAAATGAAGCAAAGAACAGAGACACTGTGGATTCAGAGGTCAGCTCCGATAAAAGAGTGAAGAGGGAATGAGGAGTCAGATCAACATCATCTCACTTGGTAGATCTTACAAAAACATCATATGCTATCTAAATAGTGGCGAAGCAGTTAAGCCAAAGGGATAACAAACAAAATATCTGACAAACTTCCTGCTTCTGCAACAAGCATCTTTTTTTTTTTTCCTTTCTATCTTTAAATACGCCCTTCCCTTCACACCGGATCACTGGATGCTTTAAAGCGTCCTGCCAGGTAAGCGTAGAGAACAGGGCAGGCTCCCCCTGCAGGCGATAACAGGCGATGACAGCAGTGAGTGTGTTCTCTGCCTGCCAGCTTCAGTAGCCAAATACTTGACTTTCCTTCAAAACGTCCCATTGCTGCTGAAAAACTTTTCCCATGACGTTTTACACAATACGAGTTACATACTGTTGATGTTAGTCAACGAGAAGAATCATTTATTTATTTAGTACTTTGTGGCACCAAACACCTAAAATAGAATTTATGGAAAAATAAGTGTTTACAAAAGACAGTTAAACATATTTCACTCCAAACCATAAGATTTATCATTTTCTCAATGATAATAATAGAACTATTTGAACTATACTATAATAACATTTTGATTATAAACAATAGCAGAAGAGCGACCAAGTTATTTGGTATTTTTCTAAAGAAACTGAATACTGAAACTTGTGTAATACTCCTTTGCCTTCTATTCTTGTGTATTTTTTTTCTTCTTCTCCTTTGAGTGTTCAAGGCAGTTCTTGTGTGGTTGTTCAGTCAATTAGGAGGATTCTAGCCATTTCCTGTTGGAGCTCCAGGGAACATTTCCGCAGCTATGCATGTCTGCGCTGTGACAATAATCAACATTTGGCACTAGCCTGGTAGCTGCACAATAAAAACCCTTTAAGTTGTACAAACTCTTTCAAACTAAGCGAAAACAGACGCGTCACTGCCTTCGTCATCCCCATCGAAAAGTTAACAAAACAACAATAAAAAACTGAATGGAATCTCAGATCACAGCTGATTCCAGAAATCAGCGGACAGTAGGGTCGTCCCTACTGTCCGCTACTAAAAGAAAAGAAAGGATTAAAAACAAGCAGAACAACAGTTGGGTGCGGTCATGTTTCTGCCTTGCTTCTGTGTACCTAGAGGGAAGAATCAGCCTTCACCTCATCTGAAAGCAAAACAGTAAAAGCGCCTTGTAAGGTCTGATTGTCTCATCAGTCTGAGACCCTAAAGTCTTTCAGATCTCCTGCTTTAAATTGAAATCTAAAAAGAAAAAGTGTAACCAGCAAATATATATAGATATATATGAAAGATAAGTAACATGTGGTGTAACTGTGTCTACAAGGTAGCGTACAGCAGCTGGTACAAGCGCTGGTGAGTGGCTAAAAGTCACCACAGCGTGACACGTGGAGACGGCAAAAAACCATTTTAGTAAAACAAAGAGAGAACTCAAAAGCCAAAAAATAAAATAAATGAGAGCAAAGTAACAACGAAAAGCAAATTGCATTTGTGGACCCTGGGTTTGAAAGAAGAGAAGGTGAGGAGGAGGAGAAGGAGGAAGAAGAGTAGGGGGCAGAAAAAGAAGATGGGGAGCAGCGGTCCTCCCTCAGACAGACAGCGACACGAAGCTGTTGTACTGCTGGATGTTGCGTTTCAGAATGTCTGAGCAGGGGCCCAGGACGCGCTCGAAACGGGGCCGGTCCAGCTTCACGCACTTCAGGGGGCCGCGGGCGACCACTGTGGCAGCGCGGGGGCGGTTCATCAGCAGAGCGATCTCACCTGGGAAGCAGAGAGAAATGACTACTGAAAGGAAGCTAAATTCACACCTTAAACATCTGTGTTAAATTATTTAGCCTGTATATCATTTCAATCAGCTCTTATCTTAGTGGTGTCCAGTCCTACATCTAAACAATAGGGTTAGAGCTGCATCGACAGCAGCTGAAACACCATTCATTTAATGTCAAGTCATTCAAAATACTAACATTAGGAAACAAGTGAAACTACGCGATTCACAGAAACAGCATAGAAAATGGATTATGAGCTGAATTATCAACAAGTCCTATCAACACAGGAAACCTGCTTGCAGTAGCCTCGCTCTCCAACAAAATGGACCACATTATAACACCAGCAGCGAGGCTCTGGGACTTTACTGGTCAGTGTATTAAGTGTCAGACAATCACAATATTAAAGTAGACCATGTAAGTTGTCAAACACACAGCAATGTGAGAAAATGTCGAGGGACATCCCTACTGTCCGCTGCCAGAAGCAGAAATCTTGGAGTAGTGTTTGTTCAATTCTCACCAAAGTAGTCAGACGGTCCTAATCTTCCTACTTCAACAAATTCTTCATTCTCAGAGCGACGCTGCAGGACAGCTGCTGAACCCTGAAAAAGGACAAAAAGTTTCAGTCTAGTTTGTTCCACAGAAAAAAACTGAAAGCTTTATACAGTGAACTACAGAACAAACTGAACAGCACATTTAACACTGAGGAGCATATTTGATAACAGTAAAAATTTATACTAATGAACTTGTTAATGTCTAAAGAGTAAAATGTTTGTTGAAAAACAAAAGCATACCTCTAAAATGATGAAGAACTCATCTCCGGGCTCGCCCTGCACCACGATCTTCTGGCCGTCCTCAAACTGAACGGGCTCCAAGGCGTCGGCCACCGTCAGACGCTCCCATTTATCAAGAGACTCTAAGGATGGAGATGGGAAGAAATATCTGAACTGAGCTGACAAGAAGATATTTTTAGCTGCTCTTTATGTTATTCGGATCTTCACACAGGTGACATGATCTGTGTCTATTTTTAAACTGCCAGAAAATCTCACCTAAAATGGACACTTTCCTGAGGAATTCCTCATACATCTTCCTCTTTCTCAAAGTGCTTCCCTACAGAGAACGGCGAGTTGTGTTAGTGTCACTCCAAACACAAAACCACACAGACCAGGGAATCGTGATTACCATGAGTATTCTCCTGTAGCTGTCTCTGTCGATGCCCCACAGCTTCACGTTGGTCTTGGCTCTGACTGTAGCCGCTCTCGGGGTGCCATAGATGAGTGCCAGCTCTCCGAAGCTGCCTCCCTCTCCGATGCTGGTCACCCACTCGTTGTTCACGTACACCTGAGCAATCGGTCAGACAAGTTTTATCACCCGAAAGAGACAGAAATGTTTCTGCCACGTCACGACAACGAGAGACACTCACATCCATCTCTCCTTGGTCGATGACGTAGAAGTTGTCCCCTTCATCACCTGAAGGCAGAAAAATAAAATGTTTCGTTTCAAAGTGAATTTATGCTCTGAATAAGTACACTGGATACGTTTCCTTACCTTGCTGAATGACTGTTTCCCCAGCAATGTAGGTGACTGGAAACATGGCATCAAATATGTCACTGGGAAAGAAAAGATTCATGAGAGGATGAGCAGGATGTATATTCATGTCTTCAAAACATGAATATACCATACCATATATATATATGGTATGGTATGTTCATAAGAACAGCTCATTAAAGGGGCAGTATTATGCGTTTTCTAGGAACACAGTGCTACTTTATGAAGCTATCAAATAACTGTTACCTTCAGTTGATATAAAACGCTGCATACATCAAAAATGACTTTAAAAATGTTATGCCTTAAAATGACATCTCTTTAAAATGTCCTGCTATTTCTGAAACTCCACCTTCAGGAAGTCATCACAACATGGCTCCTCTATTAATCCTTTAACAATGTTTTCAGCAGTGTTGCTCTAAGAAGCAGCTCATATAATGAGCTCAGCAGATGTGCAGGCCATCAGGGGTTTGCTAGTTACTGCTAGTTACTGCTAGTTAGTTTGAGGGAGCTGAGTGGTGGAGTCATGGGGGAGGATGCTCTGTGAGGTGGAAGTTTGGAAACTCCAGCTCAGAGGAGGAGCTGCTTCTCAAAGGTAGGGCCAAATCCACCCATGTGTTTTACACAGCTGAACGTTTGCCTGGCAATTAAAGGATTTCTCACACATCCATGAAAAGATCAAGGCAACACTCCAGGTATGTTTTTATGAGGAAATAACATTACAATATTATGTAAAACTTAAAAATGTCAAATAAAAAGTAGCTTAAGACAGGTACCTCCTTTCATTGTCATCCAGGTGTGAGAAGAGCACATTCTTTTCAATGGCTTTAGCCAAAGCAGCCATGGTTTTGTAGTCCTTAGGAATCACCTTCAGTACCAGCAGGAAAACACATGTTTGAAGCAGATCCACAGCAGCATTGCATGCATCATGTTCCCGATAGCTGACGTAGACCAGGCCTACCTTCCTGACGTACGAGGCTGCGTCCTCCTCTGTGTAAACCTCTGCACTGAAGGCTCCTCTCCGCCGACGACCCTTCACCACTGGGTTCATGGGCGGAGACACTTCTTCATCGCGCGAGTCTGAGCGGGAGCTGCTGGCCTTCTGCTGGTTCTGAATCTGCTTGGCCTCCTCCTGCAGGGCCAAGAGAGAGAGGAAAACATACTGCGATCAGAAATCTTTCAGTGTCCAGAGGTTCGACTCAGGATTCGGAAACCTATTTTTGCACTTCAGTCTATAGATTGTGTTTACATTTTGTAACTGACATGAACTGACAGTGTAAACAAAGTGAACATTCATTTACTCTACTGTGTCAAATTCCATCAGTTTATATTTAAACAAAAATAGGTCTGTGCAAAATATCCTGCAACTTAAATGACTAGTATTCAGTGAGCTGAGCTGTCTGGCTTTTTCTTGATAAAAATATCAAAGAATTATTCAAAGCACATATGGTGACCATGTGAACTCACAAATTGGAAAATGTTGACGAGAAAAACATACAAATTAAACACATTTTCAAAAGATTTGTGAGCGTTTTGATTGGGTTCACTCATATGTCTCAATAAAGGTGTAAAAGCCGCATTTATTTCAATTAATCTGCGAAATAAAACCTGCCGTTTTAGGGCTTACATGGTCAAGAAACGTGATAATGTTACGAATATCTTTGAAAGTTTCCTCTTCGGTCATATTTCAGTCCGTTTTCTCATCAAAATGCGAGAGTTTAGAGTGATGCGCGCTCCCGAGACAGGGCATCCAATTCTCGGCAGGTACGCATTCCCGGTTTTTAAACTCTCACTGGTTGCCATGGCTACCCGGTTACATACAGTAGGATGTTGTCAGCCACAGTGTAAAAAGTATCGTAGTTTACCACTCTGTCCTGGTGTTCCATCAAATTATCATACACCGTCAGAATAGCATACATGCAGCGAGTACGCATAGCGACGCATGCGCATTAAGGAGTCCGACTGTCAGAGGTTCAGCATAGGCGACAAGTTATGAGGAGTAACTCATTAAATTGCTTTCAATGATGACTAGAAAGATATACATGCATTGTTGTGGTTTCAAAGTGTATTTAAAGGCAAGTCTAGCTGCAGTCAACTACATCACACGGCAGTGTAAAACTCATAAAGGACTGTTCCTTCTCTGGTGTCTCCTGCAGTACGGAGATCGATTCCTGTTTGGTAACAATTGAAGCGTCTTCCGATCCAGTACTTTCAGCTGCAGTCCTTAGATCAGCAGGTCCATGTTTCTCCAACCAGATATGAAATGGTATCTTTTTCTTCTTGTGGCGCCTGGTCGTTGGTGGCTGTTCCTTAGACTTAGAGGGCTGTTTCTTCTCTGCCATATCGATCGTCTCCTGCACTCTAGCGATGGACTCTTCTTCACTCACCAGTGACTCGTTCTGTTTTTCAATATTTTCTGCAGAAATCTCTTGGTCAACAGGGACGTGTTCCTCCAAGCAGGTTTTAAATGGTACCTGCTTCTTCTCATTGGACTCACTCTCAGGTGTCGGTCTGTCTCCTTGTTGATCCACTGTCTCCTGTGCTTTGGCAATCGATCCTTTTTCAACCACCAGTGAAGCGTCCTGCTGTTTGATATTTTCAGCAGAAATCTTTAGCTCCTCAGGCGCGTACAGCTCCCCCACACTGCAAATGACACCTTCTTCTTCTTGCGCTTGGGTGGCTTGGGTGGCTGTAATTCCCTTTCGACAATGTTGTCGAATTCAACCTCTTCGACTCTCGGCTGGTTGGACTCCATTGTAACCTTGGCTTGTTTCAGGTTCTACGATAAATCACTTCTCTAGAAACGCAGTAAAGATTTGATGTCAATCTCCAAAAGAAATGAGCATCAAACAAAGTTGAAAATCTTACTGTGAACTGCGAAATAAATTCTCAAGAGACAAGTATCACCAACGGCTGCTAAACGCTTGTGATGAAAGTAGATCTATGTGAGGAGCTTATAATCATTGGTGATGTCAGAATTCTGCTTTTGGAGTTATGTTGTTATGTCACATTGTGATGTCACAGGCTTGTCTAATGGACTGCAGAAAACATCAGTGGGTTTTAAAACTGGTTTCCATAGTTACCCACCATTACTTGTTGTTTTGACGTTGGTTAGCATGTTGTTAGCGTAGCTAGCCTGGGCTACAATAACTGTTCAAAACTGAGTGATAAAATAAGTTCTGGGGGCCCGCCACAATTTGTTTTTTATATTAATTAAGGAAAATAACAAAATTAATCATATTGTGTTTTCTAAACTAGTTTTTATCAGTAAAAATGAAATGCTGGCTCTCTCAGACCAAAAAGCACACATCCATATTTGCACTGAACCTCCTGATCTGCATGAAATGGTTCGTTCCTGCTCAGCAGAAGTCAGTAGAAGACAAGAACGACTGTGGAGATCATTTTGCTACTAAAAAACTGAGAAAATCAAGTATTTAAAAATTGTGAGATAAGAGAGAAAAAGACAAGAGAGTCAATTTATAAGCCAGTTTTTCTCTGAGAGGTGGGTCGACTGTGAGATGATCAACCATTCAGCATAGTTAGTTTAGCACAGGGTACTGTATGCCTCCAATAACTAGCATTTAATGAGTTAAGGAAAATAATTACCAAGATATTCATATATTTAACTTGTCCCTGCACCTTTTACCACTTAACAACAGATGAGTCAGTCAGCAGCAGCTCTAGTCCTGACCTGTCCTCTAAGTGAAATTAAAGCTGCAGTATGAAACTTTTTTTACAATTTTTTTACATATTTGTTAAAACTACAATTATATTGTTATTGTATAGCATGAGAAATAATCTGTGAAAAATCTATTTCCTCTGCCTTCTTGCAGTACTACCTAGAAACAACCAATCAGTGGCAGTTTTACTGCAGTCAATCACAATCTTATGTGGAGCTGCTCATCCTCCCTCCCCTTGCTCTGTGCTATGCTGTGGCTAGCACAGCCTGTTGTGAATGCTGATGATGGCAGATAAACAGTTTTCCTGTAATGATAATTTGTTTCTCCCCCACTATCATATTTAGCAGTGAGTGAATGAGGATGATTGACAGCGCTAAGACCGTCCTACTGGTTCTGATTGGTTGTTTTGGTCAGAATGTTGCATTACTTTAGACAGCAATAGTAGTTCAGGGAGGAAGTGAAGAAGATTGATTGTTTTCACAAATTATCTGTCTCATATATTCTCACAACATGGTCACAGCTTTCACAAATATGGAAAAAACATATTTTTTTTATATCAAAGTTATATACTGCAGCTTGAATAAAATGCAACCCTATAGCATTTCTTGAGAAGTTTGGATTGCTTTATGTGTATTTTGCATGTTGCCTGAGAGTTACTTGTGGGGAGAGACATTTCAGTAAGAGAAAAAATGTAAGCAACCTACTTGCATACTGCGTGTGAACTGTTATATGTAAAATTTATGAGCAGTAAATACTGTTTACTAATATCAGTATTGAACCAAAGAAACCAAGCCAGCTGCAAGCCTTTCAAGTTGTGATGCTTTTTGTGGGTCAAATAGACTCAAAAAATTAGAACAGCAGCTGCGCGGGGAGTGGGGCCCAATCTAATTTTGGGGCCCAAGATTCCTGGCAGCGCCCCTGGTTGTACTGTCTGACAGTAACTCCAGCTCCGGTTTTCCTGTTTATCTGTGCCGTTAGAGTCAGTTATGTGTTAATACCTTCATAACTTCTTCCATCTAGGCCCTTCCTCTAACTTCATTTTTAAGCACCTCAATAATGAGGAACATAGCCACCTCTTTTGTCCTCCTCACTTGGTAATCCTTTCGACACCAAAGAGTGTTCTAGTCAGTTTGATGTGGTGCATTCAATAACAACAAAAAGATAGAACATGGTAGTTTATGGCTCACTGATCCCAATCAAGTTGAAAAACACATGATTCTCATCAATCCCTGATGTCTCTGAGCATCTCCTCCAAACAACAATATTTCACAAAAATAAACCGCATCAGAAACATCTCCTAAAGCAAAAATCCTCACAGATCCAGACGTTTGTTTACTGAAAACATTTTGCAGCTGTGTGTGACGAGCCAAATGAGGGGTAAAGCTGCCTGCGTTTTGGGCCAAGTGTTGTTAGAACATTCTAGAAGTTTTTTATGACCCAGTTAGTCGGTTAGTCCAAGGAGGACAGAAATTTTACTTAAGAGAGAAATTACTCATTTTAACTATGAAGTTACTCAAGTAAATGTAAAACATATAACAGTAAAAATATTCCTAAAAGATACATTATATATATATATTTTTTTCCAAAATGTTAATCATGTAAATGTAGATAGTTCTTACCCAACTCTGGAATTAATGGTGAAAAAAATTGATTCTGTAAGAGTAATATATAGCTATATATATTTTATGTACTTTGGCAGATAGAAGAAAACAGACCATTTTTCACACTAGGTTGCTATCGACTAGAACTATCTGTGGGTATCTGAAAGCTTTGCCTCAGTTATATGTCATACTTTTGTTTTGTTCTTCAATTCTTTTTCAACAGTTTTTCTTAAAGTTACAGTGAACACTATGGTTTACTGTTAAGAATCAGAGAACCAGGCCATAATTAACTGAAGGCCCGACCAGTGTGCTTGAGTTGTAACAAAAAACCTTAACAACAGCACTGTAGAAATAGAAAACAAATAAAACGTGTTTAAAAAATGAGACAATTGTAGCAGCTGAAGAGCTGAAGAATCCATTATTTTGCACACTTAATGAAGGCGGTGTGATGCTTTGTTTACCGTTACAAACCACATCAAACACAAACCTTTTCCAGCCTCTCGAAGTATTCCCTGAGGAACGCCATGGGCCGGTCAGGCCTGGAGGTGCACAGCTGGACGATGCAGTCCTTCAGCAGCTGCTGGATGTTGTGTTTCTGCACGTACTGCTCACACTCCCTGAGGCTCCGCTCCTCCTCGCTGCTCGTACTTCCAGATGCCATGATGACAGACGAAACCCTGCTCTATGACCTCTGACGTTAACGCTGGAGAGGACACAAAAAACCGGATTAGAACTGCACAACGGAGGTTTTGACAGGGTTAAACTGGCACTGTGTTGTTGAAACACTAAAATTAAGAGCCTGAGAAAGGATGAGACGCGGACTGACAGAACTGATGAGAAGGTGAGAAAACTAGAACTAGAGTGAGACTGAGCGGGTAGACGGGGTTTTGTTTTGTTCGCCATGGAGCCTGATCATATGACGTGATCACACTTATGTGACTGAATGAAAATAATTCAACTATCTGGTGCCTCGTCACACGCATGGCCAACAGTTACAGAGCTGCTGTTAAACAGGCAGAACCACAACAGAATTGCAAAATGCAAAAACATCCTGACTTGAGCTGCTCCGGAGGCTTCGAGTTTTAACTGAGCTCAACCTGTCCGCGTTTCAGCAGCAGGACTGCCTTTCCACTGCTGCCACCAATCAATGTGTGCGTTTTAGAGGAATAAAGAGGACTCGTGTCACGAGCAGAACAATCCAATCTCCGCCTGCATGGGGACTGTGCATGAACGGCACCCATGACACTTCTAATCTGACAACTCTGGAAGGGAAATCACTGAGCAGTAATCAAACTTATAAAACACAAATAATAATAATCCGGGCATAGATTCTGAGCAATAAAGTCAGTTTGTATTGAAAACTTGGCAGGATTGTTTGAATCTAACCTAGCACGGAACCTGGAAGCCGAAGATGCCTCTGTTTTTGGACCCACATGTAGCAACTATTAGAGGAGAATTTACGCCTTGTGTAATGGATTGGTCCAAGTACCCGTTCTGGTGGTCTGGGTCTACCAAAAATCACATTTAGTCTTCGGTTTAGTTGCAGAATTTCACCCGCAGTCCATCAAATAACAAACGTCAGTTCAAAGTGAAGGCATTTTCGTCATGCATAATAACGTGGCTTCTGAGAAAACAACTACATGTGATGAAGGAAGGTCGATAAATGCAAGTGTATTCAGTAAAACTGCTTTTTAGAATAGAAATCAAATGTCCTGTCTGTAGGAGTATCGCCGTGTAGGTCAAGAAGGCCGACGGGTGAACTCAAGCTACCCACCGCAAACAAATTAACTATGAACTGGTTGAAAAATATTCCCCCAAACACACAAAAAATGCTCAATAAAGGTTGTTTACAACTGCCTAACTATATTTGGCCTACGTTGTGCGTCAACGACTGGCTTGCTGGCTCTGTGCAAAGGCAAAGCTCTCCTCCAATGACGCCATCTTGAGTTCTATCATAAACAAACGAGAAACGCAGGAAAGAAAATTTCACCTCAACAGACTGCAGTGAAACGACACAAATACTCACAAAAACTGTAAAATCCCACCGAGCCTTTCGATAAAGACTCGGCACGTATGGTATTTTCACAAAGCGCACCGTTACTAGATCTTCCTGCTCGCTTCGATTTTTTTTTTCCGAGCCTTGGACCGCTGCCCCACCGGATACGGCTGACAACCAATCAGCAGGCGTCACTGACGTCAATTCTGCCCATTCTGACATGTGAGCCTGTAACCCGTAGCAACCTTAAAGGAGACAGCGCGGAAATGGTGACGTCAAGGAAATGGTTCGCGCACACACAAAAACCGCTGATGAGAAGAGTTAGATTAACAATCTACGTTCCGTTACCGGAACACGACTAACTAATATGAAAGCAATATCATCATCTCCGTTCAGTTAGTTTGCACGTTAATGCAAAATGAAACGGTAAAATGCGTATGAGAGTATTTGAAAGTGCTCTAATCGCATGCAATACCTCGGTTACAGTAGTGAAACTGAAGTTTTGGTCTAACTGTATTCAGAATAAGGGCTTTTCCGAAACACTCAGCCAATATGCAGCTATCAATTTACATTTTTAAGTATATCGAACGAAAGATTTTAAAAAAATCATTGAACAAAGGAAGAAAGTGTATTCAGATAACAGATAAAAAGAAGTGAACTATAAAAGACATAAAAAGAATAATGTCAACAAAGTGATAAAAAAATAGATTAAAAGTCTAAAATATTTTAAACTTTGCAAAAATATGTCTGAAATAAATAGGATATCTAGCGTGCAGTCATCAAACAAAAAGTCTCCTCATTGACTTAAAAAGAAATCAAAATCAGAGGCAAAACCTGATTTTATTGCATTGCACAACACAATGCAAGGAATTGAGACACAAAATAAGAAAAATAACAAAAAAGCTATTACAACAATCAGTTGAAAATTAATTGTTTATAACATGACTATTTAAATGCTGTGTAGAACCATTTAATCTGAAATAGGGGTTATCATGTAGATCCGAAATAAAGTGACCTAAGAATGGACCTTTGACGAACTCCACAATTCATTTTTGTTCACCCAGATTTGCAATGATGAAATGCCACATGGAAATCCCTGTCTGCCAAATTAAATCTGAACCAGATTAGATTTGTAGTTTGTAAATGAGTTCATAAAGTCTCTTTTTCATTATATTTGCCAGAACAGTAGATTGGAAAAGGCCGGCCAATAACTTTCTACTGCTTACTGTTCCAGGGGCAAATGTGAAAACCCATCGATTTGCTAATTTAGTGACCCATCATGACAACCACTTCCTAGTAAAAACATTTACTACACTGAGTACTTGTTGTGCTCTGTTTTCAGGCTTTTTACTATTGTGCCAGGTGAATATTATTAGCTTTTCTCTGCTGTGTGTAATAAAAGCTTATTAAAGAGGTACGTATTTATAATATATATAATTGCTCTGAAGCCCAGAGCCATATTATGTAACAACCAATAATGGATCATTTATTATTCTAATGAATGAATCTTCTGAAGATAGTATGATAAGACGGGAACATTAAAATATTTTTTAACAGATGATAATTGAACTTAATAACGATGTTATTTTACATTCAGATACACAAGCAACAGTATGCACGTCTGTTAGTTTTCTATTACTCTACTACACATTTTTAATTATTTTTCCATGTGCTGCATCTGGTTGGTTTTTTTTTTTCTTTTACTGCTGTTATTTTGAGCACAATTCTGAGTAAATCCAGCTCAGCTAATAAATGTCATGTTCCTTCCCGAGAAAAAAAAAGCCAAAGGTGACCAAATGACTTCAAACTTTTTTAGCTTTAGCTTCTTTGGGTTGTTTTCGTCCCCATATTTTTATCCAATTAAATAACCAAAACAATTCCTCGTGATGAGACAGAAAGGTTAGTCGACCAATCGGGCGTTTTATGTCTTCTTATAGGCAGTTCGTGGTTGATGTTTAGACGATTCATCCAATCATACGTCAGCGCAGGAAATGTTGGCCAATAGCAATGCGAGAAGGAATGGGGTTGGCCTGTTGGAATGAGCCAATCGTTACGCGGCTGAGTGTGACGCATCCTCCCATCAGCTGTTTTTGTTTTTCTCCGAGAACACTGGATGTTAATAACAACATAATAACAGGACTCCTGACTGGCTGCGGTGAAACATCTCACTCCGGAGGTGACAGTGTTGATCTTTGATCTCGTTTCGGTTCGGCAAAACTCTTCCTCTGGGAACTGAGCGCGCCCCGAACCGCTATCTGAGCCCGGACATTCCTTTCCCTCAAGAGTGCGAGCGTGGCGCTTGGAGTCTGGACGCCGCGGAGGAGCAGCGGGCTCCGGCGGGGATCGGCCCGAGCCAAAGGCCTTCAACCTCGGACAGCGAGACGACAGAGGTTCCCGTGGCTCGGATGGAGACCCAAGAGGCGGTATCGGAGGACCCGGGACCGCACCGTCACTTCATCTGCGCCTCGTTCAACCAGGACACCACGTAAGCGACCTGCGGGCCGAGCCGAGCCGAGCCGAGCCGGACCGGGCCGAGCCGAGCCGGGCCGAGCCCGGGGTCAACTCCTTCATGTACCTGGCTGTTGCATAACGATTTCTAGCCGTATTCCCAGATAACGGTTTATTAGTTTTGTTGACATAGACCCAAACAGTGAAGAAGAGAGCAAACAGAACAAATCTGCAGCTTTTTTTGTAATCGAAACATCAGAACTTGAAGATAAGGTGGAGGTGAAGTAGGCCACTGTGTTAATCTTGTGGGCCTGTTGCGCATCAGAGCAGTAAATTTATGACCGAACCACGCTGATCAGAACACCAACAATCTGGATGAACAAATAGAGCACCAAACATATACAAAAACACCAAAACGTATATATGAACACATCTTTTTGTATTTTAATGAACATTAAAGTGCATTAACAGGTGGCAGGTAGGCAGTGATCCATGGTAGGTTTATTATGTGCCCTGGCCAATAGCTCCATGTTGTTCCCACAAAATGTACTGTAACTTCTTAAGATTCAAATATTTGAATATAACAACTGTGTTCTTTACAGATGAAGGCCTAGTTAGAGAATGATGCTGCCACCACCGTGTTTATCTGTAGGAACAGTGCGATCCATCTTCTTAAAGGACTCCATTTGTTCTTTTTCTCAAATTAATTCTTTAACCTAACAGCCGGGGAGATGGTTATGTTTCATATCTGATCATGAAGTTCCTTCTCTTGATGACAGTGTGTGTGTTTTGATCGCAGCTCTCTGTCCGTGGGCACGAAGAGGGGATACCGGCTCTTCTCCGTCACAGCCGTGGACAAACTGGACTGTATCCATGAGGGAGGTACGGAGCAGGCACTTCCCATGCTAACCTCACCACCAAACAAAACCTCCTGAAACAAAGACGATTCATTGTTGCAGAACCTGCAACTCCGTGTTCGAGTTTATCACAGCAGCGGTCTGCTGCTGCATTACTCTGCTACTCAAAGCACTGTCTGAGTGGTTTTTTGAGCCCTCATCAGATGGGCTGTATCATGACTTCTCAACCACAGACGTCTCCAGCAGCAACCGTCAATTAATCGCACGGCTAATTAAAACCAGTGAATCATTTCCATTTGCACAATTTATCGTTGTTTTTCCTCTTTTCTCTCTTTCTACCTGAAACTGGAAGCCAAATGTTTTCAGGTTGGTTCTTTGGTCCCTTTTTTTTATCTTTTTAAGTAACTTTTTTTTTTACAGACGTCATAAATTCTTTTATTTGTTCTTTCTTTTGTTTTGCCTTTTCATTTAGGATATTTTGAGTATCGTCCAGTTTCAGTGTTAAATGTTTGTTGAAATTTAAAGTTTATTGATCCTCGATATTGTACACTTATTATTTTTATTATTATTTCAGTATGTAATTTTTATTTAAAAAAATATTCCAAGTGTTTTTGTTAAAACTGTCACCATATTGTGACAGATAATGACACATAATCTGTGAGTAGATCAATTTCCTTCCTCAGCTTCTGTTGCCGTCAGAAGAAACACACCACTCCCAAGTCGCCCCAATCAAAAACAACCAATCAGAGACAGGAGGAGGGGCTTAATGCTGTCAATCAATATCATGTCGTCACTGCTAACTATGTTAATGGAGAAACAACTCCATTTATAGAAAACCCTTTTATGCGCTGTCATTGGTGGTAATGCTAACTAGCTTTAGCATTCACAAGGCTGCTTTCGCTTCCGTTCCCTCTCTCAGTGGAGTGCCCAGACGTCTACATCGTGGAGCGACTGTTCTCCAGCAGCCTGGTGGTGGTGGTCAGTCTCTCCATGCCCCGCCGAATGAACGTCTACCACTTCAAGAAAGGGACGGAAATCTGCAACTACAGCTACTCCAACAACATCCTGTCGGTGAAGCTGAACAGACAGGTGAGAACGGGAAACGTCTCTTTCCGGTTATGTCCGGCTGTGTTGCCGTGCTGATCACCCTGGTCTGTCGACTTCAGCGACTCGTGGTGTGCCTGGAGGAGTCCATCTACATCCACAACATCAGAGACATGAAACTCCTCAAGACCCTGCTCAACACGCCGGTCAACCCAACAGGTACAAGCCAGCTGCTGGGTCATTTAACTGTTCAGAATGGATCAAATGTGCAAACATTGACAGTTGATGCAGATGAACACTTTATTTTTATGGTAAGATTTATAAAAAAAAACTTATTCCAAAATGTTAGGTACACAAAGTTTTGTTTTCCATTAACTATGAACACAGACAACATTTACATCTTCAGTTGTTTTGGCCAATCATCCGTGGGTTAAGTTAAACTGGAATTCGACTAACCTGGACAGAAACATAATCACAACGAAAGAGTTCAAGTTGAAATTTGACTCAACTGGTATAAAAATTTATAATAGTCCCTCTGCTCACCTGTAGGTCTGTGTGCGCTGTCCGTCAACCATGGCAACTCTTACCTGGCTTACCCAGGCAGCGCCACCGTTGGAGAGATCACGGTCTACGACGCCAACAACCTGGTGAGGATTGGGGTTGGCGTGGTGAACCTTTCTAGTGACCTGGATGCAGGTCACTATTTCTATTTCTTTGTTTTCGCACTGTTAGAGCACGGTGACCCTGATCCAGGCCCACGACAGCCCGCTGGCCGCCCTGACGTTCAACGCATCCGGCACCAAGCTGGCCAGCGCATCTGAGAAGGC